TTTTTTTTTTTTTTAATTTTTGAAACACAGTTTCTCTGTAGCTTTGGAACCTGTCCTGGAACTAGCACTTGTAGACCAGGCTGGGTTTGAACTCACAGGAATCTGCCTGCCTCTGCCTCCTGAGTGCTGGGATTAAAGGTGTGCACCACCACCCGCCCTGCTCAACCTGCTTTCTTATGGAAGCCAGGACCACCTTCCCAAGGATGACCCCACCCACAATGAACTGGGCCCTCCTTCCCTAAGAAAATGTCCTACAGTCCAATATTATGGAGGCATTTTTCTCAATCAGGGTTCCCTTCTCTCATAACTGTAGCCTGTGTGAAGTTGGCATAAAATTAGCCAACACACGGCTGGAGAGATGGCTCAGTGGTTAAAAGCACTGACCGCTCTTCCAGAGGACTTGGGTTCATTTTTAGCACCCACATGGCTGATCACAAGTGTCTGTAACTCCAGTTCCAGGGGATCTGACACCTTCACATAGACACATCCAGGCAAAACACCAACGCACATAAAAAAAATTAGCCAGCACTATCTCCACACAGCCTACAGGACCCTTGAACTCCAGATCCTCCTGCCTCAGCCCTCCGTGTTCTGGGATCACAGGCATGCACCAACACTCTGACCAGTGTTATCAATAACATTTTAATGTCTTTTTTAAAGATTTGTTTTGTTGGGGTTGGAGAGAGAGATCAATGGTTAAGAGCACTTGCTGCTTTTGCAGAAGACTCAGGTTCATTTCCCAGACCTACCTGACAGCTCACAATGATTTCCCAGCACCCACCTGACAGTTCACAATGATTTGGAACTAGAGTTCTAGAGATCCAACACCAGCTCTGACTTTCTTGGGTACTAGATATGCATGTGGTCCATAGACAAGCATGCAGGCAAAGCACTCATATATGTAAAATAAAATGTTTTTAATTTTTAAATTTATTTTCAATCAGTCTTGATGGTGTATGCCTTTAGTCCCAGGACTTGGGGTGCAAAGGCAAGTGGATCTTTGAGTTTGAGGCCAGCCTACAAAGTGAATTTCAGGACAACCAGAGCTACAGTGTGACCCTGCCTCAAAAAATTAACTTATTTTTATTTATGTGTACGTGTGTATCTTTGTGTGTGTGCGCGCGCATCCATGTATGTAGTTCCTGCAGAAGCAAAATGAGAGTGCTGGATTCCTGCAGAGTGAGCTGCCTGACAATGGGACTGGGCTTCTCTGCAAGAGCAGCTGTACTGTAACTGTTGTTCACGATCCTCCAAGCCAAACAGTTACTGTCTTAGGGAATTCAGTTGTGTCTCCACTGTGTGAAAAACTCCAACTGGGCTTGTTGACCATTTACACCCACAGAGGTCAGGGAGGTCATGAGACCCTCATCCCAGCAGCCAGCTCCCTAGCATCTGTTGTATACCATGATACCTTAATTACCTGAGGCCTCCCTCCCTGCAAAATATATAGACCAGGGGAGACTAAAGGGAGATACCCCCATCCCTGCTGCATGGCCTGTTGAGAGGGAGGGCACCCACACTCCCTTTAGTGACCCTTAGCCTATTATATTCGACAAAGAAGACCAATAAACTTACTGATTCCTCAGCGTGAACTTTGGCAGAATTGTCTCTGGTTTGTGGTTGAAAGAACATTGCTCATGTCTCCTGCAGAGAATGAATTTTAGCAGCTGAGCAATCTCCACAGTCCAGGTTTTAATTTTATTTGTAAGTTAAACGTGTGTGTGGTGTGTGCATGTGTGTGTGTGTGGTGTGTAGTATGTGGGGTATGTGTGTGGTGTGTGTGTGTGTAGTATGTGTGTGGTGTGTATGTGTGGTGTGTGTGTGTGTGTGTGTGTGTGTGTGTGCGCACATGAATGCAGGTGCCCTCCGGGCAGTTGATCCCCAAAAGCTGGAGTTATACGTAGGTTGTAAGCTTCCTGATGTGGGTGCTGAGACTCAAGTCCTCTGT